CAACCATGTGAACCATTAATACCCCAGACTTTATCCAAACTCTGCAGCCTTCGTGTCAAGGTTAATACAGGAAATTAATAGTCCTGGAGGCAAGACTTTTAAGATGGCTAATCTCAATAAAACTGTCTTTGGTAGTTCAGAAACACCTTTACTGGAAAGTTGTTCGAACTATATCCATTAATTGACATTTTGCAGATGGCCAGGTGTTGTTTACAACTCTTGGATGAAGAATGATGTAGGAATGCTATCCTGTACGTCTTTCTTATCTTCACCCCTTACTCCAAAAAAATTATTACCAGGTCTCCAGTTGAAATAATTTTGCCAATATACTTTACACTACTTAAAATAACGTAACTAGTCCATTTTAAATAACACGCACTACATGGAAACAAACAAGTCGTCTTTGCCTAGGACAATTCTAATTCCTGTTATAACTATTCACAAGGCTTATAAATTTGCGCTTTAGGTGATGTTAGTTGTACACGTGTCGGGGTAGTGCTGGGTCACCTGTCGTACAAGGTCAGAGCCAATGTCAGTGCCAGAGGGCAAATACGGCTCGCTCGTGCCAGCTGCTAGGCAGGGATCGCCGCTTATATTGCTGCAAGACAAACACGACTCTAGAAAACTAAACATACGGACATGAACACGAAGGTTAAACACAAAGCTGACACTACACATGTAGAACATCTGCATATACTAAAGTACAATCCATTAACACACACACACAAAAAAAAGCTGAGACTGAGGAAGAAAACTATATTATTCTAAATAACAATTAAGGTACAGTAAACAAAGTGTAACTGATGCATCAATAACTGCATGGACATGACAATCACAAGTACAGTAGATGCAATAATACAGACAAAAGATAATTACATGTTAATAAAACTTGCAAAATAATAAGCAGTGCAAACATTAGCAAGAAATATGGAGAAAATTATGAAACACACAGATTTAAATACTCTTAGGAATGGTCCCTTAGGACACTAAGACAAGTTGGATAGAGGTACTGTATATGTTAAGGGAAGATTTTTGTTTAGGTAACTGCAGGCGTGTATGACTTCACTAGGTAACATTAAGTGACAATTCAAGGTTATTACATATTCAGCAGAAGTAACTCTAGTAAGGCCTAGGTAGACATTTTTATCATCAGACTAATTTTATTCTTACCATGGCAATAAAGTTCAACAAACTGTTGTACACCCAACCCAAGACAATTTTAACTATTAAGCCACAGAAAAATTCTTATTGGTTCTGGTAAATCTGAATACCGTACTATGTAGTCTTTGTATGATATTTCAGCCTATCTTCAAACAAACAAAAATAGAACTTACAGATTGCTACTATAGATAGAATATAAAATATGTAATATTGTATTAAATTAATTCACGTTTTGTATTATTTGAATACTAAAGGACGTAAGAGAAACTAGCATTGAGTGTAATGAAATTCTCTTTCTGGTGGATCCTTGGAGGCTTCCTGCCTGCCTGCCTGCCTGGAGAGCTCCACACTCAAATTAATCCACACCAAGCCCATGCAAGTCATCATATGCCTAACAGGTCAAATTAATTTAATGATTAAATATAATGTTGGACTGGCACTAAACACAGTCTCCAATATATAATTCGTGACCTTAGAATGACCACTGTTCAACTTTTGCATAATTTACAGTGAACCTGGCCATAACTTTCTTATTAACTACAACATTCAAGAAATTTGTCTGCTGAATATGATGTTAACCATGAGATTTAGAGATGCATAAATAATATGCATTTATGATATTGATGTAAATAATAAAAATTAGCATTGATGTTCACTCATGTTTTAAATATGTAGTCAATAACAGTTGCACAACACCACATCTCCAGAAGAACACACATTTTATTTTATGGCTAAATTAACATTTATGTATAAATGACACGGCGACAACCATTCATGTATAAATGGCACGGTATCGACCATTTATGAATAAATGATACGGAAACAACCATTTACGAATAAATGCCATGGTGACAACTCGACATACGAAGGGAGAGGAAATGAGGAATGGCCAAGTCTCATACATCCTGCATGAGATTTGACAAGTATGATACAGCATATACATATAAGTATTGAGAGTAGAAAGGGCTGGCCTTACATCAGGCAGAGACTCCTAGTCAGCTTTTAATCTTAGCCTCCAAAGTGTTCACATGGATTACCTGTCATTAGTAAAAAATTGTAGGGGACATTATTAGTAAAAAAATATTGCCATATCATACTAATACTAATTCCCATTGTGTGTTATATTTACCCCCCTTTAATATGGATGAGTAGATACAGGCTTGTACCCTTATACTTCCTTGTACCTTTTCTTAACAGTCCTTATAATATAAGGACTTGTAATAAATAACAATCAACAACCCATGAGAAGTTGACAATGGCTCTGGAGAGTTGTAATGAGGATGATAAATTGATAATTATAAATGACTACAGTCCACCTCTTTTGTCCACACATGGACAAAAGAGGAGCTGGACAACAAAAAAGAGGGCCTCATAATAACATTAGAAATATTGCAGTAAGTGCAAATAAAGATAAATCACGATTGTTGGTAGTTGGTGACTTCAACTTTAATTCAATAGAGTGAGAAGCCTATGAAGTAAAAATGGATGACACTGACTGGGAGATTCATGTTCCAACATGTTAAACAGATCATGAGGGAAGGAAATTGCACCCGAAGGATAAAAATCAGATTGAAAATGGGGGAACAGATTCACAGAGAATGAAAAAATGTGTGGAACACTAAAACAGCTCCAGAGATGACAAAAAGAGTTGGCTCCAAGATGGAACCTTGCTATACACCATTCACCATGTTCCTCTAGACAAATTCATTTCCATTCAGAAAAACCCTTTGCTTTGTTTTAACCTTTCTAGTACTTTACCAATTATTTCATGTGCTTGTAATATCCTTGCCAGTCTTTCATGTAGTACCTTATCAAAAGCTTTAGAGAAGTCCATGTATACACCTACTGGAAGTCCTTAGTCTGAGGTGGTTACCATTTCCAAAAAAATAGTTTGTATCATCGATTTTACTAGAATTTGCACCGAGAGATTCCTTTCCTTAGGTTTCTCTCCATAACCTTGCAGGTATGTGAAGTTGTGCTGATTTGTCAATAGTTTTTTGTTGAACTCTTCCTCTCTTTTTTTTGAAGATTTCCCCTCCCTCCCCCCCAAAAAATAAAAAAATTAGGGCGAGATTTACATATTTCCAATCTAGGGAAACTATGCCTCGGTCCAAAGAATCTCTTGAGTTTCAGTGGTAGACATGGTTCCTCCGCCAGATCCTTTACGACTGTAGATTGAATTCAATCCACCCCCCTGGGGATATCCAATCCTTTGATTTGTCAATGTTCTTCCTGAATATCTGCCACATTATTATTATTAATTAGGGAATATTGGCATAATCAATTTATTTGCAAGAAGGTACAATGGGTTGGTGATATTATCTAAGATTGGTATTTTTTTACATTCATGCAAAGCCACTAACATGCATAGCGTTTCGGGCAGGTAAGACCGAATTCATTCTGTTCACCTGCTCCAAACATTTGTGTAGTTACTGGCATGTTGTCTAATCTATCTAATGTGAACACTGATGGTAAGTATTCATTCAAAGTGCTGGTTGCCTTTTTATTGTCAATTATAATTGTCTGGTCCCACCTTTTAAAAGGTCCTTACAAGTCTTTCGTCTTGGTTTCACTTCTTATGTGCTTCTTAACGCTTTGAGAAAATTTTCTTTCATAGTTTGGCTGATCTGATTTTCAGGGTAGCTAAATTTAATGCCCTTCTGTACATCTCATCCTTCATAGATTGATACCTTCTTCAGAGATTGCGTTTACTTGTTAGAGCATTTTTGTACTGCATGTGTCGTCAATCTAGTTCTTTCTTTTCATTCTTCTCCTTGTCACATGTTGAAGTTCAGTGATGACTTTTGAAATTCCCCATGATACTTCCATGCTTTGATCTATTAATTCCCTTCAGGTGGTGTTTTGCAATTCCCCTCATTCTTTAATAGTCGGCAAGGGTAGTCTAGAAAGTCATCATCCTGGACCTTTACAAGCAAGATTACAAGTACTGTAATGTATCTGAAGATCAAATGTACATTCCTTGTTTCTGAAAGAAGCAGCTTTCATACACAGTTTAAAATGTTGAGATTTCACACTGAAGGAATTATGAAAAAAATAAATAACCTTATATTATGCTATTATTCGCAAGTAGGCTTCAAGTAGTCAGGTAGTATATGTATATGTGTGTGTGTGTGTGTGTGTGTGTGTGTGTGTGTGTGTGTGTGTGTGTGTGTGTGTGTGTATGTGTTCGTGTTCTCTGTTTTTATTCCACGTGGTTAGCCGTGTTTTTCCACATACCCAAGATATTAACAGTGGCATAACAAGAAATTGAGCAAACAGGAGTGAATGATTGTACAAAGTAAAGAGAAGATATTGCAGATATGCAAGAAACAGGAACCTGCATCCAAACACGGAACAGGGAAATGAAGAAGCACGCATGAAGGATTTGTCTGATGTGCTGCACCTTGTGGCATTGTGAGAAGTTATAGTGTGTACAGTATAGCACTATAGCCACCATACAGTAAACTGGTGTGATGAGATATTCTCCTACTTGTACACGGTCTTTATGTCTAAAGAAAATAGAAAAGTTAAGGCAAAGCTTAATGTAAGCTGAGCGAAGGAAGAGCTCTAAGCCTGTTAACAGAAATTAGAAGTCATCTCCTGTCCTCTCCAAAGAGAATACAAAAATTTTTCATTTGTATGCTAAACACATTCTTGTAAAGCTTTGCAACATTAAATTTTTTCTCCATTCATTTTGTGTACATATTCTGCCTTGAAACCAAATGGTACTCAAAAGCAAGACTTGGTAGTTACTGTACTACCACAAGATATCCTAATAATACATCATAATACAATTAGTGTACTGTTGTTACATTTTTCCAATAATTTATTAGACTTACCTCTGCTTCCTTCTTCTTTCTTTCTTCCTCCTCCTCTTTTTTCTTCATATTCTCCAGATCTTTCTTTGCTTCTCTGAACATGTCGATAAAGGTGTCAAAGGTGCCGAAGAAATCCTCCGGCTGCGTTGTCTTCGAGTCCTCCCCGAAGAGAGTCGTAACACTTTCAAACTGAAGCAGACATAAAATAGGACGTTTTTAGCAACCTATAAATAGATAAATAGCAATAAATATTTATGAAGCCATTAGATAAGTTTTGAAAACTAGGGTAATAACTTTGCTAGTAGATTGCACCCCATTAATTACAGGGAAAGCAAAATGTCAAGGTGCAGAGTGCAGTTGAGCCAAACACTAACCTGTGTCTTCATCAAATTAAACTGGGCCTCCATATTAGTGAACTTGTCCTTAGCTAAAGCTGTGAACTCGTTCATGGCTAGGCGGAAGCGATCTCCAGGGGGCGGAGATCCCTGGCCTCTGTGCCACGTGACCTCTCTCTCGATAAAGTCGAGCCCTTGTCGCAGGCCACTGATCTCCTTCTCCAACTCGGTAATGCTGTACAAAAATTATAGCAGAATTTTTAAGAGCATTCCATACTAAGTAAATGTGTTATAATATGGTACAGGTATTATTATTATTATTATTACTGTATGGTGTCATAAGCCAATTTTCTGTCAATATTGATACAGAAATTAATAAACAATTACAGTAAATTCTAGAGATTTTTAGACAATTGTAACATTTCATTATTTTTTCTCAAATGTTGATTGTATGTTTAGTTATTAAAAAGAAATCGTTAACATACCAAAATTATAAAATTTATTTGGGGGAAAACCATATTAAATTTCATCTTTATTTTTTAGGTCTAACATTAATTATGACAATTTCATATTAATATCATAACGAGTCTTATTGTGTTTTAGGTTATCTGCTAGAAATGTAAGTTTCATTTATGCCCTAATAAAGAACACAGTATTTCTGCATAAAAAGTATTGTAGAAACACTTAATTTGGAGCCACTTACTTCACTTTGGCTGCCTCCTTGATGTTAGGGAAGTCTTCGTCTAGTCTGAGGATGTCTCTCCACTGCTTTTCACAAACTCGGACGATGTAGTGGAGTAGTGTAATGGATCGGTTATTAGAGGATTTTGTGTCGGTTAGCTTATTTAGGGAAGATACGCGGAAACCATAAGCACCACCTCGAGCACCTGTTAAGGGTCAATATAGATAAAACAAGGTTTGATGGGCATCATTAAAAGTATCAAAGACAATTTCTCTGCAGGAGCTTTGAAAATACAAGCACTTGGAATCCATGGTAAAATTATGTAATGTGCAAAACATGAAGGATACTGTACAGAGCCGAGCCATTCTAAATGAGAAAAGAACCCGATTGCAAAAATGTAAACAGTACGACAGGGTTCTATTTAAGGACGAACCTTATTTACATTGACATGAACATCACAACCTACACAATTAAAATTGAAGGTAATTCAAAGATCTATGGGAAAGCAGGAATTAAATTATATTGTAGCTTTGAAAAAAAAGTAAGAGAAACCACAAATAGTTAGAAGACTAGTAAATGATCTTCAGCATTGACATCAACCTTGAAATATCTTGCCAAGTTATAAAATCTGACAGTTCCAATTCAGAATATAGCTCAAAACATATCTTCAGAAATAATTTAACTGTACTGTACTTATAAATTCACCTTAAAATTACTGTCTATAGTGGCCTCAATGGGCACAGGAACCAGGCAGCTTTTGAAACATTAAGCACGTTTTCTATTCCGAGGACATTCTCAAGGGCGACTTTCTCAAGATAAAGGTGATATTGGAATATGCGATGGAGATTTTTTGGCAAGTTTTATACCCGTAATGAGCTTGCAAGAGACAGCCATACCATGCATGGTTACAGATCTAAGTAAATAAATTACATGTCAAGATGTAACCAAATAAAAATAGTCAATGTTACCTCTGTTCATATAATTTCCGAAGGCTAAAACAACTTCGATAAACTTCTTCAGTCTTTTGCTATTTCTTAGTTCTTTATTTGCATTGATGACTGAAGAAAGTTTCGGTTCACATTCAGCCAGTCGCTCTTTGAACTTCTTCTGGTAGTGCAGACATCGAAGTCGCTCCTCGTAGTGATCAATTCTTTTCAAGAGGAAAGATGAAAAAAAAAATTTACAACTTTGCATAATGTGGGGAATGGTTATCATACAAGACGCGTTCAATAATACATTCATAAGTTATATAGAATAGTACAGCATTTATTGTCTCACTTTGATATCTCGTAAAGGAAGCGGTCAGCTCGTGCCAAATTTTCAATTTCATCGAGATGTTCCTCTAGCATGGACTTCTCTTCAGCTGTTGGCGTGAACTTTAGGAGTTGTTCCATCATGTCAGGGGCCAGTTCTCCATCACTGTCCATTTTCAAGAGTACTCTGTAATACAGAACAGCAGAATAAGCAAACACCACAGGTAACATTTATTTTGGGTTAAGAAAATTAATCAATAGTTATGTAAAAAATGATGCAACAATTATGCAATAAATGGCAAATATTGTACTGTTCTATGCATAATATTTTGTAAAGACCTGGTTGATTTAATATTCTACCCCATACAGTTAGTGGAAAGTAAAGTCCACATGGAACTTCTTTGTTCTCCACCCCCCATTGACTGGAGTATGATTTATTAATGATGCAGAAAGGAAAGGAATGAGTTAACTCCCATTATCTGTGAAGTAAAAGTGCAACATGGTGGCAGAGGATACACACACGAAGTACCCAGGCACTCTTCTCACCCGCTTCGGCGTTTATCTGTGCTCGCTGCAGTCGAGACTCATTCTCGGGTTGGCCTTCACAGCCACAGCAGGCGCTGCATCCAACTACACTACAACAACTAGACACCCAGGGCACAACTCCATAACCCCACAGGATTGACGGATGCCTACTACTTCTCACCTGATGAGCTCTTCATTTGTCATTTTTAGTTTTGATAAAAGGATCGTGCAGTTCTGCTGGCGACGATTCTCCAGCACACTGATCTGCTGCATCTTCTGTGACTTTATTCTCTCCAGTGTTTTCTCTCCCTGAAATGACATATGCAAAAAATTACAATTCTAGTATGGAATGAAATGAATACCAGTTAACCATTTAGTATCATACGACAAATTTCCAAAATTTAAAGTGTTTAGTAGCCAGTGCATTCTTGCTCAATTCTCATCCTGCTATATAACTTACCGACTTCTTAATTTCTTCCAAATTAATGTTAAACAATGATCCCGTTGTGAACGTGTGATTTAGACTTGGCCAATACACAAATTATTTAACACTGATCCTCAATGATTAACTCGCCATTTATTTCCTGATCCCGGTAGTATAGCCGGATTCGTTCTCGAATCACAATCGAGAATTCCGAGTTCGAATCCCAGGTTAGGCAGAAATGGCTGGGCACATTTCTAATCACCCAATGCCCTTGTTCACCTAGCAGTAAGTAGGTACCCAGGAGTTAAGACAGCTTGTTGCGGGGTTACACCCAGGGCGGGGTCAGTAATTCAACCTTGGGGGGAAGGCCTCGATATAAGCCTGACATTATGTATAGTATATATATATACACTCTGGCTGCTTGCCCCTCGTCAGTGAAATTATTATAATTATTATTATTAATAATTTAAGTATTATAGACGACTAAGATTCCACAGAACTTGCCTCCCCATTTCCTTTTTTGCCGGCTGTGGCATCGAAGGTTCTATCAATATCCTCCAGGTCCATGAACTTGTATAGTGGACACTCATCAAGCGTGGCGAAGATTGTGCCCGTTACTCTGGAATCTGGCATCTTTGACCAGTTAAATGCTCGAAGTTGATTTGCCGATTTGGGTATCTGAAATTTAAAAAGGTACGTTATTGGTATACAGTGATGTATGAGCAAAAACAAATATCATTTCATGCGTATAGTATGTAATACTGTATAAGTATGCCATCTTGTATCAGTAGAATATTTAACCCCCTATTATACACAGACGTTCAGGCAAGTCCCGTTGTGTACATCAGGCACGCCGATATACTGTATATAGTACAAAAAAGTTTTACCTTAAACAGTAATACAAATTATTTGTAAGAAGAGTACATATGAGAAAGAAAGTTAATTGATTAAGTTTATGGAAGAAAACACTTTCAAAAGTGTTTCCCCACTCACTGCATTTGGGGCAAGTTTAACAAAACCAAAGAGATATAGTGACCAAAATAAAATCCATTAGAAGATGGAAAAAAGATAACGTTTCGGTCTGTCCTCGACCATTATCAAGCCGGACCATTATCACACGACTTGGTAATGGTCCAGGGCAGACCCGAACATTGTCGGTTCTCCATCTTCTGACGTGTGGTTTGGTCATCATATCTTCATCCACATTTTGCAGATGATGAGTCACAATAAAGTGTGTTATGTTTATCCATTGTACATTACAGTAGTTTTGTCTGTTCTACAATGAATTTCAACAAATAAATATTTTTTGGGCAATAACTTACTTGTTTGCTTGGCTTATTTAATTTATTGCTGTTTGGTGGTGGTGGCGGCCCCCCTGGAGGACCCCCATTCATCATTGGTGGGGGTGGTGGGGGTCCACCCTTCATCATGGGGGGAGGGGGTGGAGGTGCACCATTCATCATGGGGGGAGGAGGTGGGGGACCCCCATTCATCATGGGAGGTGGTGGTGGTGGGGGACATGGTGCCCCTTTCAGGATGCCATCTTGTAGAGCCTGGGAATGAAGGCGACAAAACATACGCGTGTGAAACACCGCTTTTAAATATCGGGTATTAGATTACACAGGCACACACACACACACATTCCGTAGATAATTTAACTTAAACTTTTATAATGAACAATAACACATTTCGCCAATGCGCAAGGTAAAATGTCCATCGTTTTATCGTTTTGCTTTCAAGTGCTGCACATTCTTATGGACTGTTACTATTCTCTTGCAAAGATATTTATAAATTTTAGAACTACCAATTGGAAATATTGGCATTTTCAGGCAATGCATTGACCTTCTGCATTCATTCATTTATACTTCAGCAGCACTGTGTATTCAAGATACTGTTGTCACTTCAATCATCAATTTATTCATGCTGCATGGGACAGTATACTGCAGTCATACTGTATAGGGCAGTATATTCTCACAGTATGCAGCATTATACTGTACTGCATGGAGTGCTATACTGTTATTGTCTGGGAAGTATACTGTTATTTTGTATTACAGCACAATCTACAGTCTTTTTTTTTTTTTTTTTTTGAGATATATACAAGAGTTGTTACATTCTTGTACAGCCACTAGTACGCGTAGCGTTTCGGGCAGGTCCCTGGAATACGATTCCCTTGCCGCAAAGAATCGTTTTTTCATCAAAGTACACATTTTACTGTTGCGTTAAACAGAGGCTACAGTTAAGGAATTGCGCCCAGTAAATCCTCCCCGGCCAGGATACGAACCCATAACATAGCGCTCGCGGAACGCCAGGCGAGTGTCTTACCACTACACCACGGAGACTGCATTCATACTATACAGTTACACTGTGCAGGACAAGAGAGTATATTCCATTGTACGAACATACTCTACTTCCACATTACCTGTGCAGTACAGTACAACATATTTTCACCCACAGGGTTATAAACCTAAGGAACTGTCTACACGCCAAAGCTGTATATGCCAAGACATTACTGCAGTTCAAAATCCAGTTTGAAAAAATCCCCAGGAAAATGGAGGAACCTTTCAGAAGCCACTGACTTCATGTCAGTGTCAAGGCCACTATATAGATGGTGGTCCTTAGGTAAATTCAGGTAACTTGTCAACATTGCATTTTGGGACAAAAATATGGTCCACTACTTTAGCATTATTATTTGTAACTGCTTATTTTCATATTGAAACTGAAATCCAGGTGGAACAGCTTCTTTCCTCCTGAAGCACAGTGGGCTACAACCTTGATTCACAACCGAGGGACTCTGGTTCAATCCCAGGGCAGGACAAAAATGGTTGGGCATGTTTCCTTCACCCGATGCCTTCATTTAACTAGCAGTAATTAGGCAACCAGGAGTTAGGCAACTGTTGCAGTTTGCACTGGATTATTATCTTACTTGCCAGTGCTGAATTCCAGGTCAGGTATAACCTGTGCCTTGCTACCTGCCACTAATATTATTACTGTACAGTATATACAATTATAAGTGTACAGTATATTTACACAGAACAATAGTATAATATACTGTGTGTATTTTGTTGTCATATGAATGAGGAGAAAAATGAACTACTGGAGGTATCTGTAAGGCATCCCTATTTCACTCATCAAACCAATTTAAATTTGAGAAAATTCAGTTTGACAATGTTTCCCGAGAATGCATCCTCTCTAAGTCAAAGCTATCTGTGTGTATATATGAATGAATTCATAAGTACATCCTGTTTAAACTGTTTTATAGACTTTACAAATGCCAGTATTGTAAAGATACTGTCAGCATTAATAACACAGACCAACTAAAATGTATATGAAGCCATCAATAAGTAATTTCAAATTCTTCAGCCCTCACCTTGGCAGAGGCAATGGTAGCCTTGACATCATCAGATATGGAACCAGCAACCAACTCTTGGATTTGGCGGGTCAGCGACTGTATCCGGGTGTCCAGTTCACTATTCCGCTGCTGTGCTTCAGAACCCGCCCGCACCTCTGACTCCAGCTGCCCACGAACCTGGGCGAGTGTCTGTGACAGCTCCTCCTGTAAATAAAGTGTAAATCCACAAGCATTAATAACCGAATACTTCTTAAAATGCTATTATTAGAGAAAAACAATTAGTGCATGTTAATTTTTTTGAAAATGTTTTTAAAAAATACTGTACATTAAACAACATACACAGTACAGTATACTTATATGCTAGGTAATTGGTATACATTTGGGCATGTTTCCTTACACCTGATGCTTCTGTTTACCTAGCAGTAACATTTAAGTTAAGGTGACCATTGTGAGATGCACCCTTAGAAAGGCCATGTGTTGGCTTAGGCTCTAAAGTGACCTAAAGAGAAAAAAAAATAACGTGCACTACACCACCATCTCTAGAAAACACTGTCAATGTATTTCACAAACAAATTTGTTTAACTCCCCGACCGTCCAAGTGGTTGGGCACTATTCCTTTCCCCCTGTGCCATCCCAAACCCTTCCGATTCCTTCCAAATGTTATATAGTTGTAATGGCTTGGTGCTTTCTACTGATGGTTCCATGTCCTTGCTAGGGAGAGCAGCTGAATGAAACAGCTCAGAAGTTTACTTCAGTGGACTTTCTTGAATATGTTTCGAGTTTTTGGAAGAAAGCTGCACAAAAAATCCTAAAAATTCAATACATTACACCAATTACCTGACATTTCATAGTTGACCAATTGAGTCAAGTTTTTTTTTAAATACAGCAGTTCAACCCAATGCATTCACAATCTTTTTAATTTTTATAAAAATGCGTTTCCTTTAATTGTTTATTAATTACCTTTCATATCTATTATAGCCCATATCTTCAACAAATACCATCTTCATCTCTATAAAAATAATCACTATCCAGGCACCATTCCTTTCCCTCTATCCTATTCCAAATCCTTACCCCTCCTATCCAGTACATATTTTGGTGAATATATATCTACTGTTTAACATCACCTCACCTTCTCTTGACACGCACTGAAGAGTTCTTGCTCTTTTCGGTTCAAATCTGTTACAACATCAGAAAATTCTCCTTCTAATTTGGTTATTTTCTTTCTGCTTTCTGTCAACTCTCGTTCATTTGCAATGCTGTGAGGGAAGTTTATGAATACCATTAGTAAATTATAAATACATCAATATACAAAATTTTTTGCAGATTTATATCATAAATTGAAAATCTTGAACGTTTAACTAAAGTTTAATTTGTCTACAATGTTGCAGAATGAACATTAAGTGTTTGGAAGAAATGCAGCATGAAAGTCAGTTGGTTACAACGAAGTAATGTGATACTGTACACATGTACAGTAACTACAGCAGAACTCAAGGTCAGTGTGCAAGGAATAAGTCACAATGTGGCTGAAACAACAACAACTCGACCCACACACATTAAATGGAATGCACTAGGAAGTGATGTGGTAGAGGCCGACTCCATACACAGTTTCAAATGTAGATATGAGAGAGCTCGAGAAGTTTGGGAATCTGTACACCAGTAGATTGACAGTTGAGAGACGGGACCAAAGAGCCAAAGCTCAACCCTTGTATGCACAACTAGGTAAGTACACACATTACCCTCATCAAGTACCCGAAGGTCGTCATGTTCACTACGCATCTCGATTGGATAATCAAGGTCGCCATTCTTAATGATAACGTTTGAAAGACAAAGTTGTAACTTAAAGCAGCTCGGGCAGTAAACCTCACAGCAAACTAACTCCTTAGATAAGCTCACTAAACTACCTTACATAACCCATAATTCAGACATCCTACACGGGTAATACAATATGAGCTAAAGAAGCCCACTAACATTAAAATTATTCAGTACTATGTATCAAATACTGTAAAAAAAATAATTTACAATAATCTGTTCTCTTAGTATTAGGTGCGCAATGCAAAAGATTTGCAATCATTACTATCAATACACAAAATCTACAACAAGCTACATAATGACAATTATCATAGTTGAACAAAATGTCCACCCAAATCCCAAATGTACCTCCGTCCTTACTTAAAGCTACAAAAAAGCCCAAAACCTGGAGGAAAAACTTACAGCTTGACAATGCTGTTAACGTTGATGTCAAGAAGCGCCACTTCCCGGTCCTGGCCGTCCTCCCCTTGGGTCACCAACTGTTGCAAGATGCGGTCAAAGAGAATCCAGTGGTCCGGTGCTCCTATATCAGCTGGGGAGAGAGAGAGGGTCTTAGTTGATGATCTGTGCCATGTGTTGAGGTGGGCAGGTTAACTTAGGAGGGATCTATAAATGTGTGTTTATCTATCTATCCAAAGTTGAAGGCCAGATGCATGGGGCTAGTCTCGTCCAATTTTGCAGATGAATGGTCTGGACAGAGGCTGGTCAGAGTCAGCCCAATAGGTCCTAATAGGGAGTGGGGCCCAACAGTGACTCCCCAACTCACACAAATAAGTAAAACGAGGCTGGTCGAGTCCTTAGATTACTTCACCTTCTGAGAGAAAGAGGGGGAGGGGGGAAGTGGCGAGATGTCACTAATGGAGTCTCACAAGGTTCAGTCCTTAAACCTATCCTGTGTCTGATAAATGTAAATTATCTCCAAAAAGGAATAGACTCGTTCCTATTAAAATGTTTGCTGATGATGCAACAAATTATGAGGAGGATAAAGACCGAAGAAGATAGCAAGAGGCTACAAGATGACCTAGACAAACTGAAGGAATGGTCCAATAAATGCCTGCTAAAGTTCAACCCAACTAAATGTAAGGTAATGAAACTAGGTGGAGAGAACAGGAAGCCAGACACAGGGTACCTCCACAAACTGACAAATAAATATCTAGGAGTTGATATCACACCAAACCTGTCTCCTGGAGCCCACATCAAAAGATCCTCTCTTAGATTAGAAGACGACACTTTAATTTGACCGTTTTCTTGACGTTGGGAAACCTTAGGAGGATGGGCTCGTTCACCAGTAGTTGTACAATTGAATGGCGGGACCAAAGAGCCGAAGCTCAACCCCGCATGCGCACACCATTAGGTGTACCACACACACACACACACACACACACACACACACACACACACACACACACACACACACACACACACACACACACACACACACACAAACTACACTAGCGAAAAACAGAACATTCTTCAGGAAACTAAATAAACTTAGGAAAGTGGGGTCGAAGAGCTACAGCTTTATCCTGCTGGCACAAGTAGGTAAGCATGTGCACACACAATTATGATAGTCGCGTGAATACGAGAACAATATTCTTATGAATAAAATTATGAACAATATTATGGTAATCAAAAGCAAAAGAAAAATTATATATTAATACAGAAAAAGCAGAAAACACGAAAATGAATAAGGAAACGTTGGAAAAGGAAAATGAATGAACATTAACTTGAGAAATGTTGAAGGAGAGGGCACACACAACAAAAACTAAAGAATACAAAGAAACAAAGCAGCTTAAAAACAGAAAAGGATCGAAATACTCAAAGTACTTTAGATCAATTTTTTTCAGCTTTAAAAATGCTTCAACCTGCACAGGACATTTTTTAACCTGATTTACCTGATGGCCACTAACACTAGTGGCCTCGACGAGGACAGGAAGCCGACGGCCTCCGCCAGCTTCATAAATACAAGTATTAAAATATAAATACTTGTATTTATGTGTATATATACAAGAGCTCTTACGTTCTCGTAAAACCATTAGTACGCATAGCGTTTAGGGGTAGGTCCTTAAGCCTATGTTCCCCGGAATACGACCCAGCAAATCGTTTAACAACCAGGTACCCATTAACCACTGGGTGATCTGAGGCTACAGTCAATGTTTGGCGCCCAGTCAATCCTCCCCGGCTAGGATACAAACCCAAGCCAAAGCACTCGTGAAGCGCCGGGCGAGTGCTTTACCACTGCGCCATGTGACAACTTAAAAAATTCTTATTAAATTATAATTTAAAAAGGTTCTATAAACTACCAACAATGGGAACATTTATTTCACTCACTGGGCAGCAGGAGAAGGTGATGGAGGAGGCTGAGGAAGTGTGGATAGGCTGCGGAGTACTGGAGTTTGCTCTGGAGGAGTTTGAACATGGAGGTGGCGCTCTTGGTGTCCACATGGACCTCTTCGTACCGTCTCGCCCACTCTCGCTCGTCCTCCGCCCGGTAGAACTCGAAGGCGTCCAGATGTCTGTCGAGTAGGTGGGGTCAAGCGGGGTAGATTATAGAGAAGTAGGGGTCAAGCTGGACCCCTACTTCCAATGGAGACCATATGCTGGGTTGGATGGTGGGGAAATGGCTCTTTCATCGTTAAATGTAGTCTATTTTTCTCCGTTTCTTTAGGGGGCTTAATTAGTGCAAGAAATAAAGGCAACCTCTCCCCACTGCCGCTTTCGACAGACCGACCATCTCAATTCGACGTGTACCCTATTGATGGTCTGGCTGGTCTTGTACATTTACTACAAGTACATTTACTAAAATGTACATTTTAGTACATTTGTACATGCACAAATGGTCTTGTACATTGACTTCCTCTGTCTACCATATGATCGTCATATCTAAACTTTCCCCTATAGTTCTGCAATGTAATATTGTACACGTGTCATGGGAGCTACTTAATGCATGTTGAATAACAAAAGTTATTGGACAACCCAACCTATACAGGAAAGATATTTAAGTAACCAAATTTTGGTTCGTTCTGGACCCATATCAAGTCGCTGCGACTCTTAATTGTCTCATGTCAATTTCTTCTGTTCCTATATGTGTGATGGGTTTCACTTCCGTTACTGTGATATTATCTGTCGAGGTTAATGGAAATGTAACGTAAAACCTAGCCAAACCCAAATTATTTCTTTCCGTTATCGGAAATTCAAATATTTTTCGTTTCCCAGAGATGTATAGGCAATCTAGTGTTCGTGACCAAATTTATGATTCATTTCTGCCGGTGATCGAACTGCAGGTCAGGTTTGATCACTCGAGTCACGGAAATGTTTCAAACAAAGACGGACCTTGCAACATCTTTGATTACAGATCTAGCCTACTGACGGCACACTAAATCCTTTGTTGGTCATTCGGATGTTTTCCAGGAAGGGTTCCGGTTAAATCTTCACCCTTATACTTTGCTCCCCATTGGGAGCAATATTCAAGACGGACCAAGAGTAACGGACAAATTCAATGCCGAATCAATCATAAAGGTTGCATCAATGTTGAATTAATGCTGATTTCGTCAATTCAACGTGGAACCAATGCCATTCTTCGATACTGTCCCTACTGGGTTACTAAGTCAGTGGCACAGTGATCAACTCTGTCGGGTCACAAACCTGGAAATGTGAGAAGTGTTCACGCTGAAACATGGAAGATAATGGCACGGCAACCATTTGAGAGCTGCGAGACACTTAGGTAATTACATCTCGGCGAAAAAAAAGATAAAACAACCTACAGGCGTTTAGTAACGTCTTCCGAATAAAAATTTGAATTTGCCTTCGGACGTCCCTGTAACACAATCTGAGAAACTAGCCGGTCTATCAACTAATGAGTTATCTTGAGATGATTTCTGGGCTTAGTGTCCCCGCGGCCCGGTCCTCAACCAGGCCCAGGAAGCAGCCCGTGACAGCTGACTTAACTCCCAGGTACCTATTTACTGCTAGGTAACAGGGGCATCAGGGTGAAGGAAACTGCCCATTAACAAATCCACAAGGGCAGTGACGAGGATTCGAACCTGCGTCCGGGAGCATCCCAGACGCTGCCTCAATTGACTGAGCTACGACATCCCAGCATCTGGGATGCTCCCGGACGTAGGTTCGAATCCTCGTCACGGCCCTTGTGGATTTGTTCATTTGATGCATCACGTTATTGTGATTTCTGTGTGTAACTCTGCCCATTGTTTCTCGCCGGCGCCCTGGACCACAGGGCCACGCGTCCAGTGTTCTGTCCGCTCAGCCACCGCTCCTAGCGGTGTAGTGACTAGACGTGACTAGCCTAGCCTAGCCTAGCCTAGCCTAGCCTAGCCTAGCCTACATGTAACGTTCCCTGCTTGGGCTCGCACATATTCTTATTGTGACTGCCGGTTACTTGTCTGGTGGGTGTGTGAGACAAATATTACACAATTTCTCCTCTTTCCACGATTTTCTTTGTAATTCCCCATGATCAAAGAAATCCCATTACCCTGATGTATCCACGAGAAAATCAGGAGCCATTAAATACTGAAGATAGTTACAGTGATGAGGGGAAAGCGGTAAGGAGTTGTGAAGGTGAAAGGGTCAGAAAAATGGTGAATTGTAGGGAAGATTGTAGATGTGACCCCCGGGTAGTGATGATTGTTACAGATATGCCCGAATTTAGTGAAGATGGTTACAATGATGAAGGCCGAATGTAGTGTACAATGTTGCAGGTTGTGTGGTGGATACAGTGATGATAGTTGTGAACAGTTAAGATGGTTACAGTGAGGGATTGTGTTTAGTTCCTATACCCCATCTTGTAGCAGGCAGGCAGTATATATTAAGCTTCAAACCGGCCACTGAAGGAAGACGAGAATGTATACCAATGCGACGTTAGACCATTCATGGCCAGTGGTGTGCGTGAGAACCTTGGCCCCCTCGCTAGGCTTTTATGTCCCTGGTAGTGACGCCTGACCTCCCGCCTCAACAATCATGCACCAAATACCCTCAGTCATACATACTTTTTTGTGTGTAAATTCCTCTCTACTATCAAGGATCTTGCAATATTTCTGCGTGTGTTTAATTGTAATGCTTTGATATATTAAATTATGTAGATGGATTAAAAGAATTTACACATTTGCTACATTAATTAGGCTACGTTTTCCTGGTATTAATGACGAAACGCATTCTTAGATACCACGCAAATTTTTATATGCCAAAAAGTACACCACTGAAATAAGTCGCATTAAATCACAAAATTACTTAAGGCATGAAGAGAACATTTTACTTTTTATATCTACTTTCCAATATATTTTTTGTGATTACTTTCCGTAGTTATTCTCGACTCCTTTCTCTTAAGTAACCTCCGAACGATTGATCCATTTACTTGGCGACTCACCTCTGTCCCAAGCGTTGTCTGGCGATCACCCGTGCGTGCTTGACGGGGCTTCTGAAGGTCTCCTTCTTGCGCTTGCAGGGGGGTAAAGGCAGAGGGGGAATGGTGGGCAGTGTTGCCGGGGAGGGCCACAACACCTCACGCTTCGCCTTCTTCCGGGAACTGTTGCGGAATTTCAATGGTGATCTGATGGCCTCCGCTGGCCTCTTCTTTGGCGACCCCGTCAAGAGCTTCAGCGGTGATTTCAGCAGGTAAGGTTCCGTTTCTTGCTGTGCCTTCGGGGCGCTGGAAAGCGAGGCAGTAATGCCGCCTTTTAGCTTCTTCGAGGCGGCGTGGAGCAACCTGAATGACGACGCTCTTAAAGGCGGGTTTCTTTGCTTGTATCTCCAGTCCCTTGGGTCGACCTCCAGTCCCATGGGGGACTGGAGATCGACCGTGATTGCTGGCTCTCTGGGAGATTTCACCGGAAAGTTCGAGTTTATATCATGTGGTTCGACGACTTTTGATTTCAAGATCGCAGGGGATTTTAAATTCACATCTGCTGGTTCCAACTGGACATATTTTGGGTTGATTATTTCAGACTGAAATTCTAATACTTTATCGAACACACACACACCATTTTGATCCACAGGTGATGCCGAGTTTTCGATGCCTATTCCAAGTATTACAAGTTTTGAGTCTAAAATTTCCATCACTTTTGAATATTTTAGAGCTGGGATGTTTGGCTCCAACTTTGAGGGAGACTGTGGATCTAATTTCGAAGTTAATGCCTGGTTCAAAATTTCTATCTGCAATTTTGTAGACTTTGAATCAAATCCGGAATCCAACTTTACAGGTGATATTAAATTCACTGTCTCCAACTGAGATTCTTGACTTTTCACTGTTATGGGAGATCTGCGATTCAAGAAGTCTGCCTCTAATATCTCTTCCGTGTCCATTATCACGGAAGATTCTGGATACAGAACTTCCATTTCCACTTCCGCAGCTGAGATTTCTGGTTCAAATGTCGAGGAAGCTTTTTGATCTACAAACACAGGTTCCAATTTCCCACATAATTCCTGCTTAAATATTTCCATCTCCAAATTCGCATATTTTAAATTATTGACGTTTGTGTCTAATTTTATGTGGTATTTCTGATTCAAGAAGTCTGCCTCCAATATCTCTTCTGTGGTGTCCAATATCACCGAAGATTTTGCGTACAGAACTTCCATCTCCGCTTTTGGAGGATATTCTGCAGCAGAGATTTCGGGTCCCAATTTCTTTGAAAATTTTGGATCTTTAATTGAAGATTCCCATTTTGCAGGCGATTCCTGATTAAATATTTCAGTCTCCAATTTTGCAGATTTTGAATTATCGACGTCGGTGTCCAATTTTATGTGAGATTGTGTGTTCAAGAAGTCTGCCTGCAATTTCACATCTGTATTCGATTTTAAACGAGACTTGCGATTAACTATTCCTGGCTCCAAAGGTTCAAGGAGTTTCAAGTTAATTTTGTTATCCAATTTCCCAAATTCCGGACTCTCGTCTCCTGGTTCTGTCTTTATGGGTCCCGGCTTCAAGAGGTCGAGCTTTGATTCCACGGGGAATTTAGAATGAAAGTGACCAGATTCCAGTTTCATGGATTTTAGGTCCACAACCATTGGTTCCAAGACCGGTGTGGAATCGTCCTCAAGCGATAATACTCTTCTCCTCTTGGGGGATTCGGGCAGGATTTCTAAAGCCATCAAATCCATTGTACCATCTGCCGGTGTTATCAAGGCGGCAAAGGAAGCTACACGCTTTGCCGGTTTCGAAATCTTGATTGGAGTCGATTCTTGTGAAGACGTTCTTGACCCCTTCTGCAATAACGGAGAGGTGCTAACGGAGCAAAAACTTTGAGCGTCCTCCATAAGAGTTATGTCAGCGGCGTCTGCAGCATCCATGCGCTCCGTTCTGCCGTTCATAAAACCCGCTAGGGGATCCCGCAGACTTCGCAAAGCCCGTAAACGAAGCCTCGTGGAACGTCGCTTCGAGATCCTTAGAAACCGTTCTGGAAAACTTTCTTGGCTGTCAAATACCTCTTCGCCCAGCAGTCCTTCGTGCAAGCTTCCACCGTCCTCGTTGCTGTACACGACGTGGTTGTCCGCATCTTCCAACGTT